AAGTCCTTCATTTCAAATTCCCTAGCCAGTTCTTCCTTCAATTCTTCAATATGATCTTTGTTGGGTCCTGCAACCAACATGTCATCCACATACAACAACAATAGAACAAAATCATTATCACCAGACCTCTTGAAATAAGCACAAGGATCTGCATTAAGTCTGTTGTATCCAAGGCACATAATGAAGGAATCAAATCTCTTATACCAATACCTTGGCGCCTGCTTTAGACCGTACAGAGATTTGTTCAACCTGCAAACCAAGTTCTTCTTTTCTTTTTCTTCAAAACCTTCAGGCTAGAGCATGTAAATCTCTTCTTCAAGATTTCCATGAAGAAAAGCTGTTTTAACATCTAGCTACTCTAGATGTAAGTTCAATGTAGAACAAATTGCCAAAACTACTCGAACTGTTGTTAGTCGAACCACAGGAGAAAATATTTCATTGAAATCAATACCTTCTTTTTGAGCATATCCTTTGACCACCAGTCTTGCACGATACATTTCAACTTGATCGTTACCATTTCGCTTGATTTTGAAGACCCATTTGTTACCAATTGGCTTCCTTCCTTGTGGTAGTGATACAAGGTCCCATGTATTATTTTTATGAAGAGCTTCAATTTCTTCTTGCATCGCCATCATCCACAGTGAAGCATCTGAGCTGTTTATTGCCACCTGGTATGTTGATGGCTCACCGTCCTCTGTTAAAAGGCAGTATGCAATATTACCTTCTATAACATAATCTGAGTGCCAATTGGGACGTCTTCTCACACGATCTGTTTGACGAGTTGTTGGAGCTTCAGAACTCTCTGTTCTTGTTCATCATGTGCTGGTTCTGCTTTAGAAAAATCTCCTTGTTCAACCTCTTTTTTCACATGTATCTGTGTAGTCTCTGACTTTTCAGCGCTATCATCGTCTTCTTTTCTTTGTAGCTTGTCTTCTACAAAGATAACATCTCTGCTAATGATCACTTTGCGGGCAGTGGGATCCCACAAGCGATACCCCTTTACTCCATCAGCATACCCAAAGAATTTGCATTTCCTGGATTTTGGATTCAACTTTGAAATTTCTTGGGAGTTGTACATCACGTACACTATACTTCCAAATACATGGAGGTTTGAATAATCAGCTGGTTTACCCGTTCACATCTCCATTGGTGTCTTCAGCTCTATTGCAGTTGATGGAGCTCGATTCACCAAATAACAGGCGGTATTGACTGCTTCTGCCCAGAATGATTTTTCTAGGCTTGCATCCCTCAATATTGCTCTTGTTCTTTCTAACAAGGTTTTGTTCATCCGCTCTGCCACTCCATTTTGTTGAGGAGTGTTCGCCACTATGAACTGTCTTTTGATGCCTTCTTTCTTGCAAAAGTCATTAAATTCTTCACTTATGTATTTCCTCCATTATCTGTTCTGAAACACTTGATCTTGTTTCCAGAATCAAGTTCCACCCGCGCTTTGAAGTTTTTGAAAGTGGAAAACACATATGACTTCTTCTTAATAGGGTACACCCAACATCTCCTGGAGTAGTCATCAATAAATGAGACAAAGTATTTTGGTCCGCCTAGGGATGTAACTGGTGCTTTCCATACGTCAGAATGAACCAATTCCAGAACACTTTTGCCTCTAGAATTTGACATGTTGAATTTCAACCGGTGTTGCTTACTTGTTATGCAATGCTCACACAAAGTAAGTGATACCTTTGTTAAGCCTGGAAGTAGCTTTTGCTCCACAAGGACTTTCATTCCTTGTTCTGACATGTGTCCAAGTTTCTGATGTCATAGCATTACAGAATCTGAACTACATGAGGCAACAGAGGCTTCTGCTTCTGGCAAAGTCTCTCCCTTCAGCATGTACAAGTTTGCAACTATCTTTTCGCCTTTCAGCACCACAAGCGCTCCACGGAACACCTTCATGATTCCTTTATGTGTTTCAATCTTGCTAGCATTATTATCCAACAATCCGTAGGATAATAAATTTTTCTTCAGGCCTTTCACGTGCCGCACATCTCGAACAACTTTAATTGTTCTATCATACATCTTCAATTTGATGGTTCCCACGCCAACGATATCTAAGGCATGATCATTGCAACTATACACAGATCCTCCTGAGACAGGTTCATAATGATGAAACCATTCTCTTCTTGAGGTCATGTGATATGTTGCTCCCGAATCAATGAGCCATATATCTACAAATCGTTTTCTTCCTTCAACGGTGGTTGACGCTTCACAACATAGAGCATCTCCATAATCTGAAGTGTTTACGGTATTGCCTTATGGATTGAAGTTTTTATTGAGACTCTAACAATCCTTCTTCAAGTGACCATTCTTTCCACAGTTGTAGCACTTTAAATTCTTCTTGTTCCTCGACTTCGATCTACCATGTTTGTGACTGCTGCTTTGGCCACGTTCTGTTGATCTCCCTCTCATCGTTGTCAACGCTTCTGCTTGTTGCAGATTTACTTGTCTGTCTTTCTTGTTCTTGCACCAATTTTCTTCTTGTAGAACAGCAGCTGCAACATCATCGAAGACTAGACTGGTGACATTACTATTTGTCAAGTTGATCATACGAATCCGGTAGACTTTGAAGTAGAAGTTCAACACATTCTTGTTCTCCTATTTTACAGCTTAAGGATGTAAGCTGAGAAAATAGTGTGTTCAGTGTGTTTAAGTTCTCCGTCACTGAAGTAGATTCTGACATCCGGAGAGTATACAATTTCCTCTTAAGAAAAATTTTATTGTGCAACGATGTGGCCTCGTATAATTTGGTGAGATGATCCCATATCTCCTTAGCTGTCTTCTTCTCCTCGATGCTTGACAATACTTCATCTGCTAATGCTAGATGAAAGTTTGCCATAACATTCCCGTCCATCTCGATCCATTTTTTGTCATCAGTGAAATCTACCGGCCTTTCACTGATAGATGCTAGACAACTGTCTTTCCTCAGGATAGCCTTCATCTTTAATTTTCATAATGAAAAATTTCTCCCATTGAATTTTTCAATATCAAATTTCGTTGCCATAGCTTCTATTACGGATAGCTCCCACTATTTCACTATCATGAATAGTTTTCTGGAACCTTCAAAGAATGTGTAATACCTTCTTACTTTCTTATGTTGGAGGATCCACCTTTTGGTGGCAACCACAAAGACAATAAGTAGATATTACACACTCAAATCTGGCTCGGATACTAATTGTTGCAGAAGAAAGCTATCGGATAGAGCAAAATCGCAACTGATAGAAGAATTTCACTAAATAATATAGGGTAAAAACCACGGGCAACGATAGAAGAATTTCACTATGAGAAAATAGGAATTACAACTTCTCTCGATCTACCAAGGAGAAAACAATGATAATTCTCTCTTGATAAAAAGGAGAAAACAACTCTCAAGAAACTCTCTAAATTCTCTAGTATTGGAAGAAAGCTAGAATGCTTTGGGATGGTTTTGAAGCTAAATGAGCTAGGGTATTTATAGTTGAAACTTTGAGGACTAATCTTATAAATACCCTAAAGTTTAGGGACTCAATTTGGTAGTTATGCCTTTATTATTTCAACAATTTGCAGCTACTTTATTGACTCCACAATTCCACTTGCACACTTGCACATTCGGTGTATTAATGCACCGAATAATTTGTTGAAATTTCAACACCGGTGAATATCCATATCATGCCGAACGCTCGACCGAATGCGCTCAAGAAGCTCTCTATTTCGTCATGGTGCTAACAGCACAATAGAATGCATCATTGAACTCTATTTTTTCGACGGTACACAGCACGAAGATCCCGATGACGAAATGCACTGCCATGATGATCAATGATATTATACACTTGGTGTAGTCTATATTCAGGGTTTCAATAGTTAATTTGGAATTTATGAGAAATCTTTTACAGAACAACAGGCAACAGCCGAAAAGAACTTGGGCTAAGAACTCAAAGAAACAAGAGGCCTGCAATGCCCGGCCACGCTCTCGATGTATAGGGATGACAACGGGTCGGGTTGGATCGAGTTTTTCACCTTATCCGACCTCAAGTATCAACAGTTTGTTGAATAAATCAACATAAGGGCATCGAAAACGAATGGTCCTCGGTTTCTAGCCATGTATGTGTAAAGGGACCATAATGGCTTCGGCCACTTTCTTTTGAGTGTCCAATGTTAGGAGATGACAGGTTTCAATCTATGCAGGAACAAATGTTTGTGCCTATTTGTTGTAACAAAATCATTGTGTTTTCAGCTTTTAACATCTCTTGGTCTTTGATTTTTTTTAAAGGAAGGATCTAAGATTAGGACAGACGTGAATCATTGATTCCATGCCATTATTGTTTCTTTGAAAATTTGCATATTGGAGGAAATGCACCCCACACCAAGTGTCAGCTTTTGTGGCTTCAAAAAGGATCCCTAAAACCCGACATATCGGATTCTTTAATATATGATCAAATTTGCAGATTCGATGTTGATACATGGAAAATCTTGAAGCTCTTAAACAATGCAGTTATTAGACAGGTTTATCCTACTAGTTTTGCGCTGTGTACATAAATATAATCCGTTTTAGGGAATGGCGATTTACTTATTCCGTGAATTAATTTGAACTAAAGTAAATAATTAAATTGGATTAAAACCTAAACCTTAAAGAGTAAATCAAAATAAATCTACAAGTAAAACAGTAGCTTTGAGTCTTTGACAACAGAAGCTAGCCTTAATTGCCATCATTTTCAAAAGGTCATTTCTGCCTAATTGAAATGGAACACTAAATCAATATTATTTCAATGCTTAACATAGAAACCGAAGGGACCTAGGAGCCTAGGGGTATTCCCTTTCATACCTAATTTCTTCTTCTTCTTCTTCTCCTCTAGCAAAGTGAGTAGTTGAACCAAAAGCTAAATATTGCATAAACAGAACACGTTAACTGATAACTTACATGCAACTGCAGCCACAATCCCCTAAAAAAATACGTAACAAAGAAAACGCATAAGTTTCTATTGGAATCATCTTTAAACAGTGACTAATTTCTGTCAATCTTCGATCCTGAGTTCTTCTTTCATCTTTGCGATAAATTCATCAAACCTTTTGTTTAGCTCTTCTGTACTCAGCACCCCATTTTCTTCTTCCTCTTCATTGTTTTCACTTTCTCCAATGTCTTCCTCATCTTCTTCCACAGGTATCTCCAAACCCCATTTATTATCTTCTTCCTCTACTATCTCAACGCTGTTTTTTATTGCCTCGTCAACGGTGCTCCCCAAGGCAGCTTTATCGTTCAACAATGGTGCTTTTGGCTCCAAATCAAGCGACTGATCAGCACGTGGAACATCTTCATAGCTCTTGAAAGATTGATCATCATCATCATTGTACATAGATGAAGAACAGATTAGACCTGAGTATTTGGCAAGAAAAACAAGCAATCCATTGCAAACAAGGAATATGCAGTTTTTGTCTATGGCATGGCTAAACAACTGGAAAGGAAGTGAATCATGGAAGTTGAAGCTAAAGGAGTGGAGCAAAGAAAGCCAATATGAATAGGAAAAGAACAGGGAAAAGACTGAAACTGAGAGAAACAAATGAGTCAGTCTTCTATGAAACCCAGATTTCAGAAACTGACTCAAAGATTTCTGCTTCTGGTTTTCTGTTTGATCCATTTTTCCAAACTCCTGAATCTCTTTTGGTGTTGTGAAGTTGGAATGGCTTATGATCAAATTCTTACATTTATATGTAAATTATTTTCGAGAAAATCCGAATGTGTTAATATTATAGACTTATATTTTTTGTCATTATCTTATAATTGATGTTTCTGAAAATATTAACTGTAAGGGTTAATTTATGTAATACATGTGTTCACAATTTCTGCCACATTTCTTTGCTTTCTTTTTCATTGAAAGGGTCTGTTCTCCTATGCCATTAACGCATTACTTTTAACTTCGTTTTGCTTTCTTGTATTAGACTAATAATACAAGAGTTGAATGAAGAATTCAATGGTATCCGAGAAAAATAATCCTCCCCGGACGGGAAAATTTTCGGGTTAGCAGCTCGAGTAGCAGTTTCTGCTTCAGAAAAAACTACAATGAAGAGTGTATTTTATTGGTAAAATTTCATTTAATTCTCAGAAAAGAAGGTATTAAAAATGCAAATGTGAAATTTGATGTGTTCTAGAGGTCGATGTGAAAAGCTTTCTCGAGGCAAACGGAAACTATAATTGGCCCAGCCAAGTCTCCAGCAGCACAGCCTAAAGGGAAAAAAATGCATAATTTAAAATGATGCTACTGCAAGACAGTTAAACTTGTAAGCAAAATCAATAACAATGTAACTATTATCGATCCGTGTAGATGACTAACTTACTGATCCATTGACCAATTGAATGACGGAGAAGTGTAGTGTTGCGAAAGATGGCTATCGGATAGAGCAAAATCGTAACTGGTAATTTGAGAAAATAAAAAATGAAGATAAAGAAGACACAAAATTTACGTGGAAAACCCTTAAATAATATAGGGTAAAAACCACGGGCAACGGTAGAAGAATTTCACTATGAGAAAATAGGAATTACAACTTCTCTCGATTTACCAAGGAGAAAACAATGATAATTCTCTCTTGATAAAAAGGAGAAAACAACTCTCAATAAATTCTCTAAATTCTCTCTAGTATTGGAAGAAAGCTAGAATGCTTTGGGATGGTTTTGAAGCTAAATGAGCTAGGGTATTTATAGTTGAAGCTTAAAGACTAATTTGTAAATATCCTAAATTTTAGTGACTAGAGTTTGTAATTTGCCCATATAAAAAATCAACAATTTCTACACCTAATTTTCGGTTCCTACAATTGTTGACAAAATTCAATATTTTTTCTTCAAACCATGCACTTTCGGTGCATTGATTTTCAACAATCTCCCACTTGAAGATTTGATTGGAACAATCATATCTTCACACCATTCTTTCTACCATGTACCATCATGTTGCTTACGTCTCTGACAGGCCACAAGAGGATCGACACCAAATAAATTTATCAGTATTGATCGCATTCGTCATGAAATCTGCTATGTTGTCTTTAGTATGGATCTTCTGCATATCTACCGTCCCTTCTTCCACCTTTTCAGGAATAAAATGGTACTGATCTCGTATATGCTTTGTCCTTGAATGAAATGTTGGATTACTTGCTAGATGCAAGGCGCTTTGACTGCCACAAAATATAGAGACATACTCTTGATTGTGTCCAAGCTCCTCCAATAGCATCTTCAACCAAATTGCTTCTTTACTGGCTTGTGTAGCTGCTACATATTCTGCTTCTGTTGTGGATGTAGCCACAACTGACTGCAATTTTGAAACCCAGCTTACAGCTCCACCAGCAACTTTGAACACATATCCTGTAGTAGATTTGCTTTTATCCGAATCCCCTGCATAGTCAGAATCTACATACCCATTGATTAATAAGTTTGATCCTCCGTAACATAATGCAATATTTGAGATCCCTTTGATATATCTCAGGATCCTCTTCACAATATTTCAATGCTCTTTGCCTGGATTCGCCATGTACCGACTAACCACTCCCACTGCTTGTGCAATGTCTGGTCTTGTGCATATCATAGCACACATTAAACTTTCCACTGCTGATGCATACGGTACTCGAGACATCTTCATCCTCTCTTCTTCACTGCTAGGACTCATACTGGAGGATAATTTGAAGATAATAGGAAGAGGGGTAGAAATTGGCTTACAATCTTGCATGTTGAATCTTGACAAGATCTTCTTCAAGTAATTCTTTTGTGAAAGCCAAATCTTCCTATTACTTCTGTCTCGGTGAATTTGCATCCCTAGAATTTTGTTTGCTGATCCCAAGTCCTTCATTTCAAATTCCCTAGCCAGTTGTGCATTCAATTCTTCAATATGATCTTTGTTGGGTACTGCAACCAACATGTCATCTACATACAACAGCAATATAACAAAATCGTTATCATCAGACCTCTTGAAATAAGCACAAGGGTCTGCGTTAAGTCTGTTGTATCCAAGGCACATAATGAAGGAATCAAATCTCTTATACCAACACATTGGCGCCTGCTTTAGACCGTACAAAGATTTGTTCAACCTGCAAACCAAGTTCTTCTTTTCTTTTTCTTCAAAACCTTCAGGGTGGAGCATGTAAAACTTTTCTTCAAGTTTTCCATGAAGAAAAACTGTTTTAACATCTAGCTGCTCTAGATGTAAGTTCAATGTAGCACACATTGCCAAAACTACTCGAACTGTTATTAGTCGAACCACAAGAGAAAATATTTCATTGAAATCAATACCTTCTTTTTGAGCATATCCTTTGACCACCAGTCTTGCACAATACCTTTCAACTTGATCGTCACTATTTCGCTTGATTTTGAAGACCCATTTGTTACCAATTGGCTTCCTTCCTTGTGGTAGTGACACAAGGTCTCATGTATTATTTTTATGATGGGCTTCAATTTCTTCTTGCATCGCCATCATCCATAGTGAAGCATCTGAGCTGTTTATTGCCTCCTCGTATGTTGATGGCTCACCGTCCTCTGTTAAAAGGCAGTATGCAATATTTCCTTCTATAACATAATCTGAGTGCCAATTGGGACGTCTTCTCACACGATCTGATTGACGAGTTGGTAGAGCTTCAGAACTCTCTGGTTCTTGTTCATCATGTGCTGGTTCTGCTTCAGAAGAATATCCTTCTTCAACCTCATTTTCCACATGTATCTGTGTAGTCTCTGACTTTTCAGTGCTATCATCGTCTTTTTTTCTCTGTAGTTTATCTTCTACAAAGATAACATCCCTGCTGATGATCACTTTGCGGGCAGTGGGATCCCACAAGTGATACTCATTGACTCCATCAACATACCCCAAGAATTTTCATTTCCTGGATTTTGGATCCAGCTTTGAGATTTCTTGGGAGTTGTACATCACGTACACAATACTTCCAAATACATGAAGGTTTGAATAATCAGCTGGTTTACCAGTCCACATCTCCATTGGTGTCTTCAGCTCTATTGTAGTTGATGGAGCTCGATTCACCAAATAACAGCCGGTATTGACTGCTTCTGCCCAGAATGATTTTTCTAGGCATGCATCCCTCAACATTGCTCTTGTTCTTTCTAACAAGGTTCTGTTCATCCGCTCTACCACTCTATTTTGTTGAGGAGTGTTCGCCACTGTGAACTGTCTTTTGAAGCCTTCTTTCCTGCAAAAGTCATCAAATTTTTCGCTTGTGTATTCTCCTCCATTATTTGTTCTGAAACACTTGATCTTATTTCCAGAATCAAGTTCCACCCGTGCTTTGAAGATTTTGAAAGTGGAAAACACATCTGACTTCTTCTTAATAGGATACACCCAACATCTCCTGGAGTAGTCATCAATAAATGAGACAAAGTATTTTGCTTCGTCTAGGGATGTAATTGGTGCTTGCCATACGTCAGAGTGAACCAATTCTAGAACACTTTTACCTCTAGAATTTGATGTGTTGAATTTCAACCGGTGCTGCTTACTTGTTATGCAATGCTCACACAAAGGAAGTGATACCTTTGTTAAGCCTGGAAGTAGCTTTTGATCCACAAGGACTTTCATTCCTTGTTCTGACATGTGTCCAAGTTTCTAATGCCATAGCATTACCGAATCTGAACTACATGAGGCAACAGAGGCTTCTGCTTCTACCAAAGTCTCTCCCTTCAGCATGTACAAGTTTGTAGCTATCTTTTCACCTTTCAGCACCACAAGCGCTCCACGGAACACTTTCATGATTCCTTTCCGTGTTTCAATCTTGCTTACATTATTATCCAACAATCTGTAGGATAATAAATTTTTTCTTCAGGCCTTTCACGTGCCGCACATCTCGAACAACTTTAATTGTTCCATCATACATCTTCAATTTGATGGTTCCCACGCCAATGATCTCTAAGGCATGATCATTGCAACTATACACAGATCCTCCTGAGACAGATTCATAATGATGGAACCATTCTCTTCTTGAGGTCATGTGATATATTACTCCCTAATTAATGAGCCATATGTCTGCATATCTCTTTCTACCTTCCACGGTGGTTGACGCTTCACAACATAGAGCATCTCCATCATCTGAAGTGTTTGCAGTATTGCCTTGTGGATTGGAGTTTTTATTTAGACTCCAACAATCCTTCTTCAAGTGACCTTTCGTTCCACAATTGTAGCACTTTAAATTATTCTTGCTTCTTGACTTTGATCTACCATGTTTGTGACTACTGCTTTGGCCACATTCTGTTGATCTCCCTCTCATCGTTGTCAACGCTTCTGCTTGTTGCAGATTTACTTGTCTGTCTTCCTTATTCTTGCGCCGATTTTCTTCTTGTAGAACAGCAGCTGTAACGTCATCAAAGACTAGACTGGTGACATTACTGTTTGTCAAGTTGATCATACGAATCCGGTAGACTTTGAAGTAAAAGTTCAACACGTTCTTGTTCTTCTATTTTACAGCTTAAGGATGTAAGCTGAGAAAATAAAGTATTCAGTGTATTTAAGTGCTCCATCACTGAAGTAGATTCTGGCATACAGAGAGTGTACAATTTTCTCTTAAGGAAAATTTTATTGTGTAGTGATGTGGCCTCGTATAATTTGGTGAGATGATCCCATATCTCCTTAGTTGTCTTTTTCTCCTCGATGCTTGACAATAC